TATATTTGTGCCAAATATTCTATTCTTTTCACAGCTTAGATAATCAAGGTAAATTAAGCTATTACAGTATAAAAAAATAAGACAATTAATATTTTTAGTCATAGTTGATTAATTTAAAGAAAATATAATTGCAATAATTTTTCTAAGCAATATAAAAACAATTCTTATACTAATAATCGAAATAGTGTGAACGAATGCATGTATCAGCAAATAATTCATTTTTTTCGAATTTCAAACTATTTCAAGAAAATATCTAATAATAAAAATAAATAATAAAATTATGAATATAGATAAATTCTTGTTTCGAAAAATATAAAATATAAACTCAATAAATTAATATTTAGTGTTTGGTATTTAGATTAGATTAGTATTATTAATAGATTATATAATATTTTTACAATATTTATACAAAATTTAAAATTGAATATATCGGTGGATTATAATAAATTAATTTATTTCCACTTATAAATCAGATACTTTTACACCAATTCAATATCAAAATAATGATCGAAAAAAAATTAGATTATATTATAAGTAATTTTAATAATATAGTTAATAAATATAAGTTAATAAGTTAATAAATATATAAGTACTTCATTTTAACAATAATTTACTAAATCAATATTCTCTGAATAGAAAAAAGATATATAAAAGATTTTTTGTAATCACAAAAAAAAATGATTATATATTTTTAATTCATTTATATAGTACTTGAAACATATAATATATAATAAGTAAATGAGATTTTTTAAAATGAAAATTATTTATAATTATAAAAATTTTTTTTATTTTAAGAAGTATAAAACTATTATATTTATAATTATAAATAATATTTATAACTATAAAAATATTAATTTCTTAACTCATGTTTATTATTTCATTTCATATTCGACATTTCTTTTCATTTCATGTTTAACTAACAGATATATTACTTTCTATACTTATTCTATATTATTATATTATTATATTCTATATATATTATTATATTCTATACTTTCTATTTAATGTTTCGAATTTTTTATCACTTCATTTCACATTAAAAATTTATATAATTTTTCATATTGGTTTCATCAAATACTTGATAATTAATTTTAAAAAACAGTATTTTTTTTTTGAAATTGATCAACATTCTTTTTAAATTATTCATTTTAACATGTCTATTCTTTGCATTCATCACTTGCTTCTTCGATTAATGCCAGACATAAAGTTTTTCTTTTTACTTTTTTTACTTCCATAAAAATTCCAATGCACATCCCCTCTATCTCTTTGTCCTTCACATAAAGTCATGACTTCCATGGGCGCCGATAGAATTTTATTGAGATTTAAGAAAATTAAAAATTACTAAAATTCATTAATCATCTTATTCTATTTTTAGAATTTATAATTTTTTTTAATTATATATATTTTATATTTTAATTTAATTAAATAAATTTCCAAAAAAATTTTTAATCTTTATATTAGATATAGATTATGAAAAAAGAAAAAGTATAAAAAAAATTAAAAAAATCATTATTAGATAGAAGTTTATTTATTATCAATTGATCATTTATTTTGTCAATTTTACTGCAATTTTATAAGAGATCATTGTAATCATACTTTTTTTTCACAAGTGATTCAAAGATCCATATGCATAAATATTCTCTTCGAATATTCATAATTTACAGTTATGCATATCCATCATGAAAATGAATAATTTCTAAAATAATTATTTGTTCCAAACGATATATTTTTTAAAAAATACAAATGCAGCTAAGTTATATTTAAGTATATATTTCTTATTTATCAAAATTACAATTTTACAAAAATTGATATTTTTGAAAAATTTTAATAATAATATTAAATTATGAATATTATTAATATAAATAATATAAATAGTTTATTATTAATATAAGTAAATTAATAAAAAAACATACCTGTTCCTTTTTTGATTAATTCAATTTTAATTTTTTTTTCTATGAAATAATTAAAAAACAAGAATGAAAAATAACAATTTTTCATTATTTATTAAACTACTTTAATAATTATGTACAAGCAATAATTATATTCTTTGCTAATTGATACTAATAAAAACTAAGAGAAAATAATAAAAAAATAAAAAAGTAAAAAAAATATAATTTGTATCATTTTAAATTATTTTGGAAAAATTATAACACAAGATCGTGTTTATGAATCATTAAAAAAAGAAGAAATATAATATTCTTGCTATACAACAGAAGTTAAAATTAGAATATGATAAAAAATAATACTGAAACGTCAGTGTGTCGGCGCCCATGGAAGGCTACCCCCTTTTAGCTACTCCCATCGCCGTTGGAGGCCGAGAGAGCAGAGCTCGAGAGCGAACTCGAAGGCTATTTATAGTAGGGAGCGGTTTCTAGTTCCCATCGCGTGAAAAATCGCGACTGGTTCCCTGCGAGCCAAAGAGAAGGAAAAAAGAGAAGGGAAGCTTTGAACTTTGGAAGGAGGTAAATGAAAGGAAGAAAAATGAGTGATACGATAAGGAAAGAAGATAAGAATATAGAAAAAGACAAGAAGCAGAAGACTGGTTCTCTCGATATAATTCATTGTATTAACTTGCCTTCTCTTATCTATTTACTTCTTTTTAAATGTTTGCCCCAAAAGGTCTAAAGACTTGGGAAGGCCGTTGTCCTTGCAAGGGCGTTCTTATGAACTACACCTGCAAGGAAAACAAAAAACCCGTTTACATCCCCATCTGAGGAAATTAACAGAAATGCAAGCACAAACTTCGGGATTTAGCGGGAAACTAACTAACCGAATTATCTATTTGATTAAATAATAATGTAATTCATAATTAAATATTAAAATCGTTTTATTAACGATATAATTATTAACGACAAATTTTGTAGAATTAATTTGGATAGTTTTTAATTTTGATTTTTAACTTTTTTTTATATTGTTTGAAAAAAATTGTAAAAAAATAAAATTATGATGAAAAATAAAAAATTATGAAAACAGTTATTGAAAAATTAAATAAGAGATTTTTATTATAAAAAATAATTTTAAATAAAAGAAAAATAATTTAATTTTTTAATTTAATATGCAAAAAATATTTTTATAATGAATATAATTTTTCAATCTCCTTTATATCTTATGATCATCTTAAAAACAAAGAATGTGTAATAAAATATTAATTATGAATTTATTTGTTAATGATATTATTTTATTAATGAAATATATAAAATATATATTGTACTATATTATCCTTAACTTACTTACGATTTACAATGACTACGATTACATAACTTTCATAAGATAAATAAATAATACTAAACTAAAAAATGTATATTGATTTGCAATATCAATAATATGCAATATCAATAATATTTTAATAAAAAATAATAATATTTTTAATTAAAAAAAGAATATATTATTTTTATATTTTTTATACTATTATTTGTATTATAATATTTTATTTTTTTGTATTACATTTACAATTCTAAGATAAGTAGTTCATGCGAATATCGAAGCATTAATCATGATTTAAATCACAAATATAAATGTATAAATTATTATTTATTATTATTCATGTAACATTTTATTAATGCAACAAACTGCAATAATAAAAAATAAAAACAGAAAATCATTCAACATTCTTTTCTAAAATTCCATTCTTTAATTTTTTTGCTAATATTTTAATTATATTTATATATATATTAATATTATAATATTTATTAATTATAATTATTTTATAATGTAATATATTATTTTTAAGATTGTAGATTACTATATTTTTTATTAATATGTAAGCTTTCATTTTTATGTCATTTATTCATAAAATAAAATAAATTAAATTTAATAAATTATTATAATAATCAGCATAGTTTGTTTAAAATTATATAATAATTGAAAAAACCTAAAAATATTTTACTGAATGTTGGCAATATCAGTCGTCATGCGATTAATATAATAATGTATCACGCCATCTGAATGAAGATATTATATGTATGTATGCATATATATATATATATATATATATATATATAATACTAATATATTCCATTTTAAATAGAATTATTATTCAAATTAAGATTCAAAATAAACAGTATTTAAAATAAGCAATTTTAAATTTTCCAACAATATTTATTATATATATTCCTTATATATATATTTATTATATATATTTCATTTCAAATAGAATTTTTAAAGATTTAAAATAATTAGTTTTAAGTCTTTTAATCATTTTCAAAAATAATAACATAACATAACTTTTTCAAAACTCATAAACTTATAATCAATGTATTTACTGATCAATAATATTTAAAATCAATAATATTTACAATTTTTTAAATGCACTTTCTAATCAGAATATCACTGTATCAAAATATATTTTCACAATTGAATTCCATTTCATAACTTCTTGTCCATATTATTAAATACATTCAAAAAATATTTAAAAAATATAGGTAAAACCTATGGACATTAATTAAAAAATAAAAGATTTATTGTTGATATTTAAAATATTTAATAAGATATTTTTGCAAACATATCCTTTATGATTCGATATAAATATAATATGCTTATAATTAATTCAATAAAATATTTTTATATTTATTATTCTGAAATATTCTCATCAAATGTTTTTATTATCTGAAATATTTTCCCGCGTATATTTTGTATTATAAGCATGCGCATTCTCAAATTTTCTAAGCTACAATCTTGCATATAAGTAGTATGTCAATGACCCAAATTTTTTCAGATAAATAATCAATGATATTAATATTTTTTTTATATAGAATTGCTATGTTAATATTACTTCCTAGCATGTTTAACGTATGAACTTGGACCTCACATTATGATTGACAATTACGAAAATGATTATTCATATGATCATTTTATTGGTTATTGAATTGACCGATGCGGCATCGACTATTCGCCGGCCGGCTAAGTGTATACAGTTAATCAATAAAACTTGACAGGTTTCACGACAAATGAAACAATTTGTGATTTCTATTGCATGCAAAATATAGATTGAACTTTTATACCTGTCTGTCTCTGTCATAGAATCGTTAAATTTCCCAACAAATTGAAGATGAGGAAGATTTACAACACACAGTAAAACGTCAAAAGTACATACGAGCGAAAAAAAGATAGGTCGAAAACCCTATAATACTGACTGCTTTATAAAGCTATCGAAAGATGGCAGCTCATACAATTTATAAATTATTGAATATCTGATAATTTGATCTATAATACATATAATCTATAATACATATAATATGTAATTAGAATGCTCTTTAAACTTTATTTATTATTATGTTATTTATTATGTTATTTATTATATTTTATTTTTTAATTATTAAAAAAAATTTTTTTCACAAATAATTTTAAATTTGTAAATTTTTATAGTACATATATCATATCTTTCATATAATTCAACAATAATATAAGATCATGAAATTAATTTAATAAAAAATTAAAATATTTATAAATATAAAATATTTATAATACCAAATCTTAATCGTTAAAATTCTCATTGCGATATTAATCGTAATATTAATGAATGTAATAATTTATACTATATCTCAACACAACAATTTATATATATATATATGCATTTTACATTTTCTGTGATAAAAATCATATTATTTACTATAATCAAACATAAATTTAATTTATTGTAATGCGATATTATATATTATATTTACTTGACTTTTGATTGAGTGTCATGTTTACATAAAATTGATTATTGATTTATATAGATGATATCGTTTAATAATATTGAAAGAAATGGATGATTACATTTAAATTAGAATTGTTTGATATTTTATGTAATAAACATAAATAAAAAATATATTAATCTTAAACAAAAAGACAATATTTTTAACGACACATTACAACATATATTTAATGTGAATAATAATAACAATAATAATAATATTGATTTTTGTATCATTTAACTAATATTCATTTTATCTTTAGACTTTATAATATATATATATAAATTCTATATAGAACAAAAAATTTTTAGTATTAAATCACACGTAATCCCATTTGTTTTATATTGTATAATATATTTGTACTTATAATATATTTGTGTTATAATTCGTAAATTATACATAATAAAATATGAATATGTTAATACACGTGTCTCTATATTGAAATTAATATACATTTGTATTATCCATATATTTATATAATCCATATATTTCGATCCCCATGAAAATATTTATTTGTATTTTAATACTTGTATTTTAAAAAATATTAACACAAACATATTAAGCATATGAGCACAATATATTTAATATATTTAATGCATACTAATACATACTACATAATATATTCAATACATTTTCAATATACATTGAGAATAATGATCTATTTTTATTATTTTCTTAAAAATTATTTTATTAATAAATAGTATATAGAATATATGTAAAAGCATTTATTGTTAGTATCGAAATGCAATCGAATATTTTAATAAGCATTGATTGAAAAATCTTTACTTTTACTATCGATATAAATACGGAATCTAACATCATTACATAAAATTGTATCGATATCATTATAAATATAATAAATATATATCTTTTTTTTTTTCGTAAATTAGCGCATTTAACTATTCTCATATCAATTTATAGATGTAATTTTCGCACTGATATAGATATAATGCTTTAACGTAGAACTAACTCTATTCGAAATGATTGGCATTGACTGGTAACAAACGCGTCATCGTCTCACATTAACAGTACATACTCTAAATGGGACCACACAGTCGAGTTATGCGACAACAGAATTGTAACGAGTTATAAAAAGAATCAATAACTGATATATGCTTTTGTTTATAAATGTATATACAATATAAATAGATAAATAATGTAATATAGTATTTACTGTATATAACGAACAGAAAGTGATTTTACGTATAAAAATAAAAGAATAAGATTTTTTTTGTCCAAAACTTTATTTTTGAAAATTTAAAAACTTCTTAAATAATTATATTTTATAATAATTATAAAAAATTATATAAATAAAAAATAGGAAAATAATTTGTAACTGAAAATTAGAAAATCAATCTATATACAAAAAATAAATAAATAAATAAAAAATGTAGAATAAAATTTTTTTGTTTATATTCTTGTTTTTAAAAATAATAATAATGAATAATAAAATTAAAATTAAATAATTCTATTTAGAATAGTAGAGTACTTATACACAAATTTTCAAATTTAATTTCCTGAATCTTGAAATAAATATATTTATTATATATTTTTCATTTATTTTTGATTATTGAATTGTCTTTTATTTAAATTTAATTTATTTATACCCAAAATTAGTTATGTATTCTGTATTTAACTAATTTTTAAATTCAATTTTTTTAAAAGAAGTTTCAAATAAAAAAATATTATTCCTTTTTTCTGATTTATTTTTATATATAAAATTATTTTTTGTCTACTGATATTTATCACTTATTAATCGTAATTTATAAATAATAGTTATACATTAATAATATATAAATATAAAAAAAAAATAATTAAAAATATTAACCATGAAGATTAAAATTATACGATTATTTTCAAATGCAATAAAATTTTTTGAAATAACATATGATTCCTTATTTGAATTATAATATTTAAAATTAATATTTAAAATATAATATTTAAAATTTTTTTAGAAAAATAATATAATATATAGTATACATAATACATATACATGTATATAAAATGTAATAAAAAGTAATCTAAATATAATAAAAAATAATCTAAAAAAAAAACTTACTTAAATTTTTGATCCGACGAAATTAAAATGTCCCACGATCAATAATCATGCACAAAAAAATAATCATACACATAAAACTATATTATTTCAAACATAAAAAAGTACAAATATAAAAAATTTCACAAATACAATTAATCATTTAATTAACACAAGAGCAAGTTTAAATTTCGGACTAACAATATTTACTAACGATATACTAACAATATATTAGTGTATATTATCGATCAAAAAATATATTCAAATGTATCGTTGTTCACGGACTATAAATATTCAATTTTCCATAAAATTTTAAAAAATATCGAAGGTAAAAAATCTCGTTTATTCCATGGGACAGAATCCTCCATGTCTCGCAAAAGAGAGTTTCGTCCGTTCAAATCACGGTCCGTACCGTTTGAATGTTCGCACGAGCTTAACTGATAATAAAATGAAGCTTCATAATTTCCAGGTCGTGTATACCTATCTATAGTAGGTATGAACCAGATGCCATCAAGGACATGTTGAGCATATTTGTAATTTCGTATTCACATTACTTTTCATTGAAACGAAAATATATTTTTAATACATATATTGTATTTTGTTACTATAAAAAAACATGAAATTGTTGATATAAATTTTGGAAAAAATATTTTTTTCATTATGAAAATTACTGATAAATTAATAAAACGATTCTATTTGTTTGGTTCGGAAAAATAACTTGTTTTTAATATGAGTAAGTACTCTATTATGCAATGAATATAAATTATGAATGAATTTTAAAAAAATTCAATATTTCAATAATAAATTTAAATGCAATAATTATTATATATAATTATTTTATATAATAATAGATTTTACAATAAAAAAAATTATTATAAAATGAATATGATATGCATGTTATATGAATATTTCATATAGTTCTAAATATACTGTTATATATCAAAAAACATCTAAAAATGTTTCAATATCAATAACATCAAAAATGTCTTTATGATATCAATCATGATATAATAATATATTATTATGTTATATCTTATATGTTACTATTGAAAAATTTTTTCACAGATCGATATAGAAAGTTCTCAGTCTCTATTATATGATATTACTAATAAGTATATGTACGATATATTTATCTAAACATAAAATTTTTTACAAATATATGCATATTTTTATAATTGTCAAATCTATCATTATTAATCAGATTTATATTTCTTTTAAAGAATTTTCATTAAGCAACATATATAATGTTTACATAATCTGTTTTATTATATCATAAATAAAATAGAAAATTTGAATTAAGGGTTGCGGAAATAGCGATCTCTACCGAAGATAAACGAAATGTTTCGGACAATCTATCGATTCCTTCCGAAGATTTCCGGAAATAACCGAGATTGTGAAAGTGACGTATATACGTCAGTGTGGGCCGACCCGCGTATCGTCGGTATTATCGTTTAAGAGGTGTTCTATAATTTCTCGTAAAAAGATTATTTAAAGGATAACAATATGCAATTATGAACTTCTTTTAATAACTTTTTAAAAAACTACTTGCAAGTTAAGAAAAGCGATTCACTGTCGTATGTTTGTAACTGGTGTAAAAAAAAATCTTGTTCTTATACGTGTGCGTTAGAGTGTCGATCAATTTTCTAGTCGACGAACTTGTTCTTATTCAGTTAATTAGGTTTACCTGTGAGTAAATTAATGTCAAATTAATAGCATTTTGACACTTCTTCTTTTGTGAAATATATATTGACTTATCATTATGCTTGATTATCGTAACATAACCTTGAAATTACAAATATTTCTCTTAGTTTTTTTTAGAAAATTTCCGTCCAAAATTACAATTTTTTTTATTGTAGATTCGACTCGGTGGTCACCTACGGGTGAATAAAAATGGCCACCCCTCAAACTCCGGGTAAGTTAATTTTTTTTCTGTATGCAATTTTGACAAATATACTCTTATTTGTCAGGTTGACAATAACTGTCTACAAGAAAAAAACATAAATTATTATTAATTTTCGATTTTATGAATTTTGTAATTTAAATAATTAATTGTTTCATAAATACTATTATTTTCATTCAGAAAAAATATTTTTTTGAATATTGTAGAATAAAAATTCTTTTAGGCATGGACCCTTGGACAATCCAACCTAGAGAACGTGCAAGATATAGAGAGCAATTTGATTCTTTAAAACCAATCAATGGTATTGTTACTGGAGAACAAGCAAAAGAATTTTTGCTTAAATCTCAGCTTCCACCTGTCATTCTTGGACAAATATGGTATTAATATTTTTTGTTGTTCTATTCAATATTTTTAATATCATAAAATATTATCATGTATATAATGTAAGAATATTATATAGGGCTTTATCAGATACAGATTCAGATGGAAAAATGGATATAAATGAATTTAGTATAGCATGTAAATTAATTAATT